GATGGGTACATATTGGATGTACCAATATGGGCAAGAAGTGTCTCCATCTTGAGAGACTGTAATAAAAACTATGATCCTGTAACCATTCATTTAAAAATACTTGTGGAGGGCCTGCCTGTGGCTCACTCGGTAGAGTGCGGTGCTGATAACACCAAGGCCATGGGTTCGGATCCCATATAGGGATGGCCGGTTCGCTCACTGGCTGAGCGTGGTGCTGACAACACCAAGTCAAGGGTTAAGATCCCCTTACCGGTCATCTTTAAAAAAATAAATAAATAAAATAAAATAAAATAAAATAAAAAATAAAAAAAATAAAAATACTTGTGGAACAACTACCAAGTTATAAGTGCTGGGGATAACGACAAATATTCCTGCGCTTCTGGAGCTTAAGTTCTAGTGAGGGAAGATAGTAAATAGGGTAAATAAAAATACCTAGCATGTTAGGGAGTGATGAATGCTATCTTGAAGCCAGTGTGGCTCAGGGTCTGCTGCTGGGTCTCCACAGAAGGTAGAGGAGGAGAGCTATAGAGAGGAAACCAGGAAGGCCAGGTACGAAATATATAGTTGTACTAGGAAATACATGTACATCGTGATTCAAAATTTAAACAGAATAAAAAGCACCTTAGATATTTAATCTGCTGAGAATTTTGGGCATCACTAGTCTTCATTTTGCAGACAAAACTCAAAAGACGTGATTTCTCAAAGCAAAAGAGGGAAGGAGAAACCAGTCTATCACCTCCCTGGTCACTGCACTGTTGTATCAGAACTTTTTACCCCCACCAAAAGTTTTAGAATAAGGTTATACGGAAAGCAAACAGTGTTTCAAAATGTGTTTTAAGTTAGCTTTTAACCAAATAAGAATAGAAATTGTATTGATTTAGAGAGCAAAAATTTTAGAACCAGAGTCCGATTCCTGTAGGATCAGTTACCTCGGGAGGAGATTGCTGTGGGGGTACATAGCAGTGATTGATGCTACTGGGAATGAAGGGAGAAAGGCCCCAAACTTTAGTCCTTCACAGACCAATGTTTTTGCTTCTTCAGGTGACAGCAGAAAGCAGAATGGAAATCTTTCAACATCAGGATGGAGATATTGTATCCCAATTTTTAACCAACCCAATCCTTGAGTCAGACATAACGTTTAAAGCAGATTATTGAACTTCAATGTAACAACATTAATGTGGGTTCAGTCAAATTAAGCTGTTTTCTAGAGAGTAAAGAGCACATGGAAAGTCAAAAACAATATTTTACCAAACTTTAGAAATAAATCCCTAGAGAAAAATATTATTCAGAACATATGACAATTAAATTTTAAAAATGATAAATATGTAGGAAAGAACTCATGAAAGAAAAGCAGAACTCATTCACATTTCAAAGTTGTTATCTTGCAGAATATTTTAAATTTTGTATGCAGCAAAGTAAAATACAGCCTTTTGAAAAACAATTAAGAATTCAAGTTCATAGCACCAGCTACCCCCAAGGAGATTTTCTATTGATTTGTAATTTGGCCTTGAATTTGACCTGTGGCCTTCATGTCATGATAATTTGGGTCACTTTGAATATGCCATCCCTTGAACAAGGGCCTCTGCTAATTTTAAATGAATGCAACTGCCCATTTGCCATTCTTCTATTTGCATCACAATGTGTGGGAATAAATTCGCAATTAATAAAACATTTCCAGGAAACAGTCAGACTGAAGAAATGAAGGACATTTACTTAGTAAATTTGAAAAGAGATATTTCATTTTTGCCTTTTTAGAAATAAAAGAGGGAATGAAAACAGTTCATGTTTTTGACAACCTTGACAGGCCAGAATTGTATCCTGGGATACATCATCTAAAAAAGCCATGTAACCTTAAATTAGATTTTAGAAAAAAAAAAAAAAAAGGAAAAGTTTGTACCAGGCCTAAAAAAGTCGGTCTGTCTCCCTTCCTTTCTTTTCTCTCCCTTTGGTTCAATGAAAATAAGTACTTTTCAAGTTTGATTCATGGGGTAGCTTGCATTTGAAATTAAGTCACCGAAACCTTTGGTGGTCAAGCACCTTAGGGCCTTTATTCCATCTTGCACCTCATGCTATGTTAATTAGTAATATATTGTCCAGATACAGGAAAACACAAATCCTCTAGAGGTGTAACTGTAAAGTGAGGAGTATGGGAGAACTGTCCTGAGAGAAACTAGAGAAGGAACTTGAAAGAGAAGGAACTGGGGGAGTCTGAGGGGAAGTTAGGAAGTCTTACTAGCTGCTTTGGAGTTTTCAGCTTGCTGTTTTCACTGTGCAGGATGTTCTTTTCTGCACTTACCACATGTTGAAATTCTCTCATTCTCCAAGGCCAGACCGAGTAATGACCCATTGTGAGAAGTTTCTAGACCCTCTTAGTTGGGATCCATCTCCCTACCCCAAATCCCCATAGCACTTGCTGCCTTCTCTATTATAATTTGCGTTTTTTCTTTTTTAAGATGACGGGTAAGGGGATCTTAACCCTTGACTTGGTGTTGTCAGCACCATGCTCACCCAGTGAGCTAACCGGCCATCGCTGTATGGGATCTGAATCCGTGGCCTTGGTGTTATGAGCACCGCACTCTCCCGAGTGAGCCATGGGCCCGCCTCCTGTTTGTGTTTTTGGAGGCTGGCCGTGCGAGGATCCAAACCCTCGACCTCGGTGGTACAACACCGCACTTCAACCCACTGAACTAACCGGCCGGTTGTTAACAATACCATTATAATATGATACTCGCGATAGTCGGATTTATCTAGGTCAGGTTAGGCAGGGCCTTGAATGCCACACTAAGGTTTAAGCTTTAAATTGTAATCCATGGGGAGCCATTAAGTTTCTGAGGACAGGCTGGCATAAGACCCATGTTAGGGAGACAGGAAAGGCAGACTAAAAAGGCATGTCAGGTGAGAACGGAAGGGAAGGGGTGCATGAAATTACCCATTCTCTCTCTCTGTTTTTTATGGCGAATTACTATGTGTCAGGCATTACACCCCGCTTTATAGACGTGGAAGCCAGGTTACCCTCACACGTCGTGGTCCCAAGCAGCCTCCACGTCAACACCCTCTTTACCCTCTGCAATCTGATGGTCATTCCCCCGCTGAAATCGTGCTTTCCAGGCTCAGCAATGATCTGCTACCTGCCCCATCTATGGACTTGTCCCACAGTGCTCATTCTTACTAACTTTTCTGAGCCCTTAACCGCCTTCCCGCAACATTTCTGTTCACAACTCATATTTCCTCCGCTTGCAGTTTAAAATTTGGAAGGCCATTATTATTGTAGAAGCTTAGTTAGTTAAGGGTAGCAATGGGTGGAGACTTGATAAGACGCTGAGGGGAGTTTCTGAGCGCTTTAGACTTGAGAGCCCGGTGACAATAGTTCTAAAGAGAACGGTCAAAGCCTTCAGATTTTTCTTTTAACAGCTCTATTCTCATGCATGCACGCCCGGGCTGGGGGTAACTTTTGTTGTTTGTTTATAAAAGAAATGGAGAAAAGGGAGCCGGGCCCGCCTCTTTTCTGACCTAAGGGCAAGAGTGAGGGGCCGGGCGGATTAAGCGAGGCCCCCCCAGGCGCGCCCTCAGCCCCGCCGGAGCCCAGAGCACCCCCTCGGCCGAGGGGCGGGGCGGGCCTAGCGGCC